CTTTCTTTCTCCATACACACACTCTCGTGAGGGTGGGTGTTCATGGGTGGATAATGGGAGAGGGCGAGGGACGTAGAGAAAATGAAAAGTAAGGAAACTTTTTAAATTGGAATTGGGACATTGGGGTGGTGGAAAGTAAGCTTGTTAATTGTGTTAGGTGTATTGAGTCTTAGTGAATTTGTATTGAAAAATATATTATTCATACTCGATTTATTTATTAATTTATATTTAAAGAATCGTATCATATTAAGTTTGTGATGTATATGAATTGTGTATAACTAGTACATAAGTGAATCATGTCATATATTTTTTTTAATTTATTTCACTCATATTCGATTAATTTATTAATTGTATCGTGTTATTTTGGATACACTCGTTTACGAAATGAATGAATTGATAAGGCATGAATCATTGTTATTTTAGACAATATAAAAAGTATTCTCATTATTAGGTCTAATTATAGGGGTGTGACTGAAATTAGTGTAAACATTTTATAAAAAAATCCTTAAAGTAAACTCAATAATACAGCTTCCACAAAGCTGTCGTTATTTCCTATTTTCCTCTCCGCGTTTCCTACTTGCTTTACTTGCCCCTATAATCTCTCTCTCTCTCTCTCTCTCTCTCTCTCTCTCTCTTCATTCAGAGTTTGAAATTCATTCATTCAAAGAACATGGCCACCTCTCTCTCTGTCTTCTTCACTGCCCTCCTCAGCATCTTCACCTACACAGCCACCATAGCTCAGCAATCACAAGCACAACCAGCCCAAAACCAAGCTCCGTCACCGGCCTCCGATGCCTGTAACGGCATATTCTTAACGTACGCCTATACCGGAGGAAGACTAATCCCTCCGAACCTCAAGTCGGACCCGACCCAACAGCCCTACCGGTTCGAATCCACTTTGACCGTTGTAAACAATGGACTCGATGAGCTCAAGTCTTGGCGGGTCTTTGTGGGTTTCGAAAACAATGAGGTGTTGGTGTCTGCCTCGAATGCCGTGCTCGCCGACGGGACTAGTCTTCCGGCGAAGGTTGGAAACGGCACCGTTTTTGCTGGGTACCCGAATACGGATCTCAACACTGCTGTTGCGACAGCTGGTGATATGACTCAGATGAGTGTTCAAATCCAGTTGGTGGGTACGGAGTACGGAGTTGGAGATCCGGATGTGCCAATGCCGTCGAATATTTCGCTTGTCAATGATGGGTTTATCTGCCCTACGCCCGCTAAGCAAGGTAAGCCTTTTTATTTATTTTATTTTTTTAAAAAATATTTTGTTTATGTTGAACTAGTTAGATGTATACTTGTACATGTAGTATGAATGGGTTTTGTTAATACTTGATGAGTTTGATTTGATCTGCTTTCTTTTGGGCTTTTTTGTGGCAGTTTTTCAATTTATTATCCCCATGCTTTGTTTGGTTGCTGAGAAATGGTAGGAAAATGGAAAGGAGATTTGGAATTTTTGTGACATTACACAAGCTTTTTGGGGAACTATTTTTAAGGGCTTCTAAAAGTTGACATTTTAAAAAAAAAAAATTAAATTCATCCTCTGTTTTGTTGCTTGTTGGCCAAAAATGGGGTGAAAGATAATTTAAGCATATTATATTTGCACCAAGCAATGGTCTCACAATGTAATTCAACCATAAGATAGGTTGTCAACCAGTGGAAACTATTCTTGTTGTTACCAATTTCATACCACCTTGCTATTTCATTGGCAAATTTGCTATTTTACTATGAAGTAGAGGCCTAATATTAGGGTGAAATGATTTTTGTTTTATGTCATAGTTTGGTATTTTTGTTTTAGTTAGTAATGATGAGAAGATTGAGCTCAATCGCAGTTTTTAATTCTGTTAAACAGGTGTTGATTTGGTCTGGCAGTTCATTGTTATAATACCCTTTCCAGGCTATGACTTGGTAACACCTTACATTGGAATAACACTAGCAATTCCAGGCCTTGTGGCTTGTTAGATTTCTTGTTACTTTGAACTTGGCATTTTTAAGTTTTGAGAATTGCCCTTTGGTATGTCATATGAGAAATGGCCCAGTGGAATGCAAGATTGGAGTTAGAGAGGCAGTTTGACCCATTCTGCTTGTAGTTGACTTGTGTCTACTTGATCACGGATGACTTGGATTTGGATGGACATCCCAAACTTATAGCTCTAAAATTATGGAATAGAGTGATTGCTTGTAGAACTGACAAGAGTTTGGTGTATGACTGGGCAAACATAAATCAAGACACCAGTGCACTAAATTTTTAGAATGTTGAACAAGATGATACAAAATATACGGTAAGTAAACTAATGGCTCCGGGGTGTCGGTTTTAATTGTGAGGACTTCAATATTTGAATTGAGTCCCCTTTTAGTAGAACCTATGTGAGATGGAGTTGATCTCATTGAAGAATTTTTGAGTTTATCTTAGACGTGACCTTGTGTCGATAATGATGTCTTGCTTAACCTTGCAACTACTTGACTCAACTTTTTTTTCCCTCCTTAAAATAGGGATTGAATAGGAGAATTTACATGTTTTTCCTTTTCCTAATTTCTTTTCCTTTGGTTGCTTGGTTGTTGAGCTGTTGTCCCTTCTGAACATATTAGCTATTTTATGAAGTTTGATATACATTTTGTCTCACCCGTTTGAATGCCATAATTTATATAATTGCCGTTGGATTTATCAGGGACAAACAAAATGCAAGTGTGTTGTACCAAAGACTCAAACTTCAATCCCAACACCACCTTAGGTGAAGAATTTCTGCCCCGACAAGATGGTGATCTGACGATAATGTATGATGTGATCAGAACATATGATACCAATTACTGGGCACAGGTCACAATTTCAAACCATAACCCTCTTGGTCGTCTTGATAATTGGCAATTAAGCTGGGATTGGATGAAGGAAGAGTTCATCTTTGCCATGAAAGGGGCTTATCCCAGTGTTATTGATGCAACAGACTGCATATATGGCTCGCAGGGCGATTACTATCAGGGCCTTGACTTTTCCACTGTATTGAATTGTCTTAGAAGGCCAACCATAATTGACCTGCCCCTAACAATGGCCAATGACACAAATCTTGGGATGATACCTTTTTGTTGCAGAAATGGAACTATTTTACCCCCATCAATGGACCCAAGCAAGTCAACTTCAGCATTCCAGATTAATGTCTTCAAAATGCCACCGGATCTGAACCGCTCCCAGCTCAGTCCACCACAGAACTGGCAAATTAGTGGCACACTGAATCCGGACTTCCAATGCGGACCTCCAGTGCGAGTGAGTCCTAGCCAATTCCCGAACCCAAGTGGGTTACCATCTGATTCAACTGCAGTTGCAAGCTGGCAAGTGGTATGCAACATCACTCAACCCAAGGGAGCAAGCCCCAGATGCTGTGTATCATTTTCTGCCTACTACAATGAATCTATCATCCCATGCCAAACATGTGCTTGTGGGTGCCCTAGTAGTAGTAGTCGGACTTGTAGTACTACTACCCCCGCCCTTTTTCTTCCATCTCAGGCTCTTCTTCTCCCATTTGAGAATCGAACTAAATTGGCTACAGCTTGGGCGGATGTTAATCATCTACGAATTCCGAACCCATTGCCCTGTGGAGATAACTGTGGGGTCAGCCTCAACTGGCATTTATATACAGATTACACAAGTGGATGGACAGCAAGGATGACAATCTTTAATTGGGATGATACTTCTTTTGTAGATTGGTTTGCTGCTGTAGAACTAGATAAAGCAGCAGCCCCTGGATATCAAAAGGTGTACTCATTCAACGGGAGTGTATTGAATGGTGTCAACAATACGATATTCATGCAGGGTCTTCCAGGCTTGAACTATCTCGTAGCAGAAACAGATGGTGCAGACCCTGCAAAAGATCCCCGGGTGCCTGGGAAACAACAGTCTGTGATCTCATTTACGAAGAAAAATTTGCCTGGAATCAATGTTCCTGCTGGAGATGGGTTTCCGACTAAAGTTTACTTCAATGGCGAGGAATGCTCGCTGCCTAAAGTACTTCCATCGGGTAATTCTCATAGATTGGGCTCTGCTTCAATCACTTCTGTCCTTATAGCGATTATCGTCCTGATGTTGATTCAGCAATAGCTTTTGGGATGAGGCTTGACTGCTTGTTATGTAGCCTGCTGATTGGTTCATTCTTTTGAGTTACTTGATCAGTGACTGCTCAGTGAAGTATTTTGCACTTGTAATTACCAGGGGACGTGCAAGTCACTGTTGTTTATGCGGAGTCTGTCCTAGTTCTTCAATCCGGTGATGGGTTTTTGTTGATTGCCTGACTCGGCAGGGATGAATATTAGGGTTGTATTGTTGCTGCTGTTACATTACTAATATACTACACAGTTTGGTATTCTGTACACATCATTGAACAGGATTTTTTCAATTTCGTTCGTTGCTTTGTGTTTTATTTGTCTCCAAGTGGATTATGTGATAAACTCTTTCATGTTTAGTGAATATCTTTCTTTTCAGATTGATTTCAGTACAAAATTATAACTTAAACAGGATGGACAGATTGCAGTCACTCCGAACTTGGGAGGAACCTGTTAAAGTATAGTTTAGCCCAAACTTGACCGACTTGTAACAACCTGCCATGAGTTGATTAGGATTTAGGGGTGTTAAAGCTGACCCAACAACATGAATCTGACATAATAAGATCAATAAATATGCATATTAAAAAATCTAGATTAATGTTTGACACTACAAACATAATAAATAAATTTTTTTTGTGGGTATTAATACAAACACGACATAAATAATAATGACACGATACAAAAATATCGACACACAAGTCAATTACACAAAAAAAAAAGTTACTTTGATGCCTCTCAAGTTTTCAGATTTTCTNTCCTAATTTCTTTTCCTTTGGTTGCTTGGTTGTTGAGCTGTTGTCCCTTCTGAACATATTAGCTATTTTATGAAGTTTGATATACATTTTGTCTCACCCGTTTGAATGCCATAATTTATATAATTGCCGTTGGATTTATCAGGGACGAACAAAATGCAAGTGTGTTGTACCAAAGACTCAAACTTCAATCCCAACACCACCTTAGGTGAAGAATTTCTGCCCCGACAAGATGGTGATCTGACGATAATGTATGATGTGATCAGAACATATGATACCAATTACTGGGCACAGGTCACAATTTCAAACCATAACCCTCTTGGTCGTCTTGATAATTGGCAATTAAGCTGGGATTGGATGAAGGAAGAGTTCATCTTTGCCATGAAAGGGGCTTATCCCAGTGTTATTGATGCAACAGACTGCATATATGGCTCGCAGGGCGATTACTATCAGGGCCTTGACTTTTCCACTGTATTGAATTGTCTTAGAAGGCCAACCATAATTGACCTGCCCCTAACAATGGCCAATGACACAAATCTTGGGATGATACCTTTTTGTTGCAGAAATGGAACTATTTTACCCCCATCAATGGACCCAAGCAAGTCAACTTCAGCATTCCAGATTAATGTCTTCAAAATGCCACCGGATCTGAACCGCTCCCAGCTCAGTCCACCACAGAACTGGCAAATTAGTGGCACACTGAATCCGGACTTCCAATGCGGACCTCCAGTGCGAGTGAGTCCTAGCCAATTCCCGAACCCAAGTGGGTTACCATCTGATTCAACTGCAGTTGCAAGCTGGCAAGTGGTATGCAACATCACTCAACCCAAGGGAGTAAGCCCCAGATGCTGTGTATCATTTTCTGCCTACTACAATGAATCTATCATCCCATGCCAAACATGTGCTTGTGGGTGCCCTAGTAGTAGTAGTCGGACTTGTAGTACTACTACCCCCGCCCTTTTTCTTCCATCTCAGGCTCTTCTTCTCCCATTTGAGAATCGAACTAAATTGGCTACAGCTTGGGCGGATGTTAATCATCTACGAATTCCGAACCCATTGCCCTGTGGAGATAACTGTGGGGTCAGCCTCAACTGGCATTTATATACAGATTACACAAGTGGATGGACAGCAAGGATGACAATCTTTAATTGGGATGATACTTCTTTTGTAGATTGGTTTGCTGCTGTAGAACTAGATAAAGCAGCAGCCCCTGGATATCAAAAGGTGTACTCATTCAACGGGAGTGTATTGAATGGTGTCAACAATACGATATTCATGCAGGGTCTTCCAGGCTTGAACTATCTCGTAGCAGAAACAGATGGTGCAGACCCTGCAAAAGATCCCCGGGTGCCTGGGAAACAACAGTCTGTGATCTCATTTACGAAGAAAAATTTGCCTGGAATCAATGTTCCTGCTGGAGATGGGTTTCCGACTAAAGTTTACTTCAATGGCGAGGAATGCTCGCTGCCTAAAGTACTTCCATCGGGTAATTCTCATAGATTGGGCTCTGCTTCAATCACTTCTGTCCTTATAGCGATTATCGTCCTGATGTTGATTCAGCAATAGCTTTTGGGATGAGGCTTGATTGCTTGTTATGTAGCCTGCTGATTGGTTCATTCTTTTGAGTTACTTGATCAGTGACTGCTCAGTGAAGTATTTTGCACTTGTAATTACCAGGGGACGTGCAAGTCACTGTTGTTTATGCGGAGTCCGTCCTAGTTCTTCAATCCGGTGATGGGTTTTTGTTGATTGCCTGACTCGGCAGGGATGAATGTTAGAGTTGTATTGTTGCTGCTGTTACATTACTAATATACTACACAGTTTGGTATTCTGTACACATCATTGAACAGGATTTTTTCAATTTCGTTCGTTGCTTTGTGTTTTATTTGTCTCCAAGTGGATTATGTGATAAACTCTTTCATGTTTAGTGAATATCTTTCTTTTCAGATTGATTTCAGTACAAAATTATAACTTAAACAGGATGGACAGATTGCAGTCACTCCGAACTTGGGAGGAACCTGTTAAAGTATAGTTTAGCCCAAACTTGACCGACTTGTAACAACCTGCCATGAGTTGATTAGGATTTAGGGGGTGTTAAAGCTGACCCAATAACATGAATCTGACATAATAAGATCAATAAATATGCATATTAAAAAATCTAGATTAATGTTTGACACTACAAACATAATAAATAAATTTTTTTTGTGGGTCTTAATACAAACACGACATAAATAATAATGACACGATACAAAAATATCGACACACAAGTCAATTACACAAAAAAAAAAGTTACTTTGATGCCTCTCAAGTTTTCAGATTTTCTAGAAATCTCTTCTATTTTTTCTCTTCAAATGTGTTTTCTGGTGAGTTTTTGCATCCAACAACTGAAAACAGAAAACAGAGAATTTCCACCCATCAAACAGAATCTAATTAAGCTACTCATAATTACATTGTTGGACAGAGTTGATTTAATGCCTTAATTCTCAAATGGGTCTCCAAAAATCACTTCAAATGCTGAAGGGATTCCGAATCTCTGATTTGTCGTCCACTTCAGCTGTAATTGTAGCTTTGTACACTAGAAACTGGGGGTCAGCTCCCTAAGGTTTCTCCGATTCTCTTTTGATTGGTCTGGATATGTACCTATCTGCAGATTAAAAAATATCTTACATTATTGAGATTAAAATCAATTGAATCTGCTAATGTGTACAAATTCTAACCATTTAAACGAGAAATATAGGATCCTCCAATTCTCAGGAAATTAGAGGAGAGTCTAATCCTGAAAGTGGAATCATAGATAAAGCCAAAGCATGGAGGATGCCCTACACTGGAGGATCATCCAAGGGATGCCCATCAAAGCCAAACTCATTTTCAACTAGTCCAGTGCCTTCTTGCTGCTGCTTAGAGGAAAGATTGAATTAGTTAAAGCAGTCAATAAACACCATTTTCAAATTCTAGATGGATGCTTCAAATAGCAAACTGAAGTAGATAGATATCCAGGAAAAGAAAACTGACCTGCTTGAGGAGCANCATGCTTCAAAGAGCAAACTGAAGTAGATAGATATCCAGACCTGCTTGAGGAGCACACTCATGAGGTCCTCTTGACTAAATTGTTCAGGAAATAGGGTGTTTTTAGATACAAATTATAATAACAGAACGCATTACCTTCCAGGACAAAATTACTCCACCTCAATCAGAGGAGTACAACTTCATAGTCTTCCTTCTTCACCATTGTTGATTGGGTACGTATTAAACGGACAAAGCAATCATGGAACGAGAGATGGATAGTTCCAGGTAGATATTTTGGTTTTCGGTGTTTCTAACAACAAATTGAAGGTTGAGGCAGAGAGAAAATTTATTCTACTTTTGTTAACCTAACAAACGGCAACTTTTTCTTTAACAGCACCGCGTATTGTGTTTCCTAGACAGCAGAGAGGAGCTGCTTCCCATGAAAAACCTAACATCATTTTATTGGCTTTATCCTCACGTAATTTGTGATCATTTTATAATTCTCACACATCAACTTCATCTCTTGCATAATTTTCTGAAAAGAATAACAGCACTTGGAGGCCTCACAATAAAGATAATGAAAGAGTCCACACGTGCAAGTCCTAGGTAGATGGAAACTTGGTGAGGCAGAGTCCTCTATCTTCAAGATGGAAACTTCTACTGGATATCATAGGATTACAATGCCCATAATGAGTATGTGGCAAGTTGGTTCTGCAAACTTGGTAAAAATTTTCCCAAGAAGAACATTATTTGTTTAGCCTAAACTAGTTTATAATTGTGCTCAGAGTCTCTATTTGCATGACCCTGAAATCCTAGGCACTGGCCTTTGAATTCACTGCCCATAACAGCAAATAGATGTAGAGCAATGCAAGAAATAATCATGTCAACATAATATTAAACCCTCTACATACAGTTGCATTTGCAAATACTAGACAAAGATCTGGAGAAAGGATCAAGTCCCATAAAAGCATGCAAAAAGAACAATATTTGTAAACTGAAGGAGTGATTAAAGGGGGTTCCCTCCAGTTATAAAATGTTTGATAGAACACAAATTAGAACAAGGAGTGTCATTATGTAGTTATGCCAAACTTGACTTCAGGTCATGCATCTGAAGATTAAATAACAAGCCAAGGTTTTTGTAAGCAGGCCTACGGAGCTCTGGAATTCAAAGTTCTGGTCAGAACTACCATTGCAGAAAGTAAAAAAATTAAACCACATGGAAGAAAGTAAGAATTCAGCTATTTGTCCAGGGTCCTATAATGGCTTGACNCTACAGTCAGTATTTCCACTAAGAAAGTACTGACACCTTCTACGGGGATTATACAGTACCTACTGACATAGTTACATTATCGGCGATATCGGGTATAGTCTCTCAAAAGGTTACAACACAGTTATTGTGTAAAACCCGGGTAAATTTGAACTTTTTCTAAAAAATTGTAAAATGGTAATTTATCACTATAATGTGAAATTAAAAATTCGTATTTTTCTAGAGCTCGAATGATGCAACAGACCTCACTGTTGGATTTATATTGCGAAATCGAGCTACCTTATCAATTTTCATCGAATTCCGAGATAGTCGAATTTTTCATGTTTTTTTCGAGACAACTGGGGGTCAGATGACCTCACAAACGTCCCCAAAAATGAAAATTTTAAAATTTCCTTATAATTGAAGGAAAGTTCAAATAAAAATAATTTAAATTTAAACCGAGATAAAATTAAGTCGTTTTGGGCCAAAAACGGACACGGAATTAGGAAACATGCGATACGATGTGGACCGCCCAATTATAAAGGGTATAAATAGGGGCGAAATATCTGATTTTCAGATATTTCTCTCCCCACTTGTCTATTGGTTCACGTTGAAGAGGAGAAGAGAGGGAGAAGAAAAGAAAAATCAAGATCTCTACCTTTCTTCTACGATCTACTAAGTTCTGTCGGTCGGAATCATTCGGACCAAGAGTTAAAATCGATCACCGCGACGAGAGCTACATCTACATACCAAGAATGAAAGATTTTACCGAAGATCCAAATAGGAGATTTGGGAAATCAAGAGTTTTGGGGTTTAGGAGGTGTTCTTGAAGTTTTTTCCCTTTCATTTACCCTCCAAGAGGTAGGGTTTCCTGCTACATTGGTTTATTCCTTACCTAGAATGCTCTATGGAATGGGTAAGTGTATAGAATAACCTAGGTCATTTGATTATAATTATGAAAATGGCTTAGGCCAATTCCTAGTTAAGTTTGGTATAAGAAAAGTATTTGTGTAATTCCTCAAAACATGATGTTATGAGGGAAATCTTGTGTGATAACATAAATTGTGCCTTGAAGGTATTTTGCTAAATACCTATGTGAAAATTGAGGTTATTATGGCATGAGTTATGTATAACATGCTTGCAGTTTGTATTGATATAAATGTTAATATGTGCTACTTGGTGTATTAACATTGTGATAGATTATGGTAATTATATGCAATTGATATAAATTGCCATGACATATGTTGAAATATGTGGATAAATTAGCTCATATGACGTTCATTACATATGGAGCATGACATTGAGATTGCAATGGTGCATTATATTACATTTACATGAGAGAAATACATCCATGGACATGAGTATGGGTGTGTGTGTGTGCATGGTTGGATCAATCATCATACTTGGTGATTGATGAGCGAGCTCGAAAAAGTTGGATCGAAGATCTGACTGAGTCGCATGGTTGCATGAAAGAAAAACTTATGTCGGGTATAGCAAGCAGAGCTAGACTCTCTCTCGAGTGCAAGACCCGGTTACTTGGTTCATATACTCTCCTGTGGTGAAATTCTAAAAAAGTGTAATGGCGTACGGAGCCAGATGTGTGATTCCAAAATCCGATACCCAATAAAGACACATGATTTTGTTTTACAAATGGTCATTCGATGTGTATCATCCAACAAAATTTGGTTTTAAAAACACATGACCTTTATTTCAAAGTGATTATTGGATGAAATTCATCAATGATAGATTTGCTACACATTAGCATTGCATTGTGTTGCGGGAGTCGGTGAGGACTCGGGTTAAAGTACATGAGCGAGTGTCATCTCATAGTATGACATGACATAGTAGAATTCTAACATTGAATGACATATTCTTGTTTGGAATGGAAATTGAGGGTTGATTGTTGCATGTACACATTTCATGTGTATCTAGGGGGAGGAGTAGCCTCTGTAAGGGATACTTTATTAAGCGTAGCTCACCTTATACGAAAAAATATTTCAGGTGCGAGATTCACACCGGCGGAGGACTCTCATTTCGAGTCTCAAAGATGAAGAGAGCCGATTGATGGCTTTTGATAGCTCATTCTGTAAATTTTTTGTGAAAATTATATTTTGGGCATGTAATCGTATGGAATTATCCGTAATAGAACTTGTATATAATAGGTTTTATGTGAAAAACATTATTAAGCATGTTTTGGATGGTATTGGAATAGATTGAAATGGATTGGAAATAAAAAACAGGTGAAATAGACAAAAGTTGGCAAAGCATATTGGTACGACAAGGTCTAGTGGGCAATTTGTATTGGTACAGCCTA